ATTTTCCAAGCATCCAGGCCATCCAAAACCCCATTGAAGAATTTTAGATCCACCTCCCTCCCCTGGATGCATAGTGTGCTCTTTTTAGGAACTGATCCTCTACCTTGGGCTGAACTTTTCAATTAAGATGCGGAATTCGATTTTTCGGTAACGTTTAATTCTATGTGTCGAGTATACCACTCAGTCTCAGAAAGATAACTGATATGGTACTCGACCTTGATCAGTCCTGCTCTGGGATGGGCCATGCCTTCCATTTCATTCGAAAAATCATAAGCGTGCCCTACTATATATAATGCGCTATGTCTGTCTGTCCGTCTGTCACGAAATTCGGTATCAAGCGAACAACAACCTACAGGGTCCAGGTCAAGTTTGGGATGGGTATACCATATCCCTAGAAGTAAAAAACACACATCAGCCAAGCGGAGCCCCGCCCACAGTGGGCGTGGCGTGCATCGGTTGATTTCAAATTCAGTCACAAAACAGCCTCGAGACCGGGACAAAAGTGGGCATAGGTGTGGGTTGGTAAGCCAGATCGAACTGAGGAGACCCACCCTCGGTGGGCGGGGCGTTCTCTAGAAAATGGGTGCTCAGTGAAAATATTCATAACTCGGTTAAGAGGAAGCCTACAGACCAGAAACGAAATTAGTGCAGGGAGCAATGCCTAAGGTATTTCCACCACGCATGATGTGAACGGAGGCCCGCCCACAATGGGCGGAGCGTGTCGTGAAGCGGACAGCGTTTTCTACAAGAGCTCATAAATCGGCTCCGAGATGACTTAGAGACCGGAAAACAACGGATAGAGGTCAGGAGGGGAGGGGAAGCTAAATGTCAGGGATGGGCGTGGCTTACATCAAAGTGGGCGGAGTTTGCAATTAGGCTTATAACTCGGTTCCTAGGAGTCCCGGAGTCCGGGAAAAAAGCGTATAAGGGTTGGCAGAGGGAAAGGGGTCAACCGTTGTTGGCGGGCGGAGCATGCACCAAAGTGGGCGGGGTTTGCCACGGTACTTCATAACTCGGTTCCAATAAGTTCCAGGAGATGGGAAAAAGTAGAAAAAGGTTGGGGAAGAGATGATAGCCGACTGATATCAGTGGGCGACCCACGCACCAAAGTGGGCGGGGTTTGCCACAAAGATACGTAGCTCGATTTCGTCCCCTACAAGACCTCATAATTCGGCTCCGAGATGACTTAGAGACCTGAAAAAAATGCGAGGTGAAAGTAGGAGTAGAGGTTGAATGTGAACGCTGGGCGTGGCACACCCGGATGTGGGCGGAGTTTGCCACCGCTCTCATAACTCGGTTCCTAGAAGTTCCGGCGACCGGGGAAAATGTGCATAAGTATTGAGGTATGGAGTAGGGTTGAATGCCATTGTTGGGCTAAGCATGCACCAAAGTGGGCGGGGTCTGCCTCAGAAATTCGTGACTCATAACGCCATTTACAAGACCTCATAATTCGGCTCCGAGATGACTTAGAGACCTGAAAAAAATATGCCTGAGGTGAAAGTAGGAGTAGAGGTTGAATGTGAACGCTGGGCGTGGCACACCCGGATGTGGGCGGAGTTTGCCACCGCTCTCATAACTCGGTTCCTAGAAGTTCCGGCGACCGGGGAAAATGTGCATAAGTATTGAGGTATGGAGTAGGGTTGAATGCCATTGTTGGGCTAACCATGCACCAAAGTGGGCGGGGTCTGCCTCAGAAATTCGTGACTCATAACGCCATTTACAAGACCTCATAATTCGGCTCCGAGATGACTTAGAGACCTGAAAAAAATATGCCTGAGGTGAAAGTAGGAGTAGAGGTTGAATGTGAACGCTGGGCGTGGCACACCCGGATGTGGGCGGAGTTTGCCACCGCTCTCATAACTCGGTTCCTAGAAGTTCCGGCGACCGGGGAAAATGTGCATAAGTATTGAGGTATGGAGTAGGGTTGAATGCCATTGTTGGGCTAACCATGCACCAAAGTGGGCGGGGTCTGCCTCAGAAATTCGTGACTCATAACGCCATTTACAAGACCTCATAATTCGGCTCCGAGATGACTTAGAGACCTGAAAAAAATACGCCAGAGGTGAAAGTAGGAGTAGAGGTTGAATGTGAACGCTGGGCGTGGCACACCCGGATGTGGGCGGAGTTTGCGGCGTAAGTAAGATGTACCGAGCAGAAAGCTAAAATCAAGACAAAAATACTGATGGGCCCGATTTTACCGCTGCAGCCCCGTCTCATGCACGCGAATGCGTGCGCAGCCAAACTGGTAAATTATATAATAATTACAGGACGACCTTTGCATCGCGAATGTAACATCAGACGATGCCTAGTTCCCATGCATTGACATGCTGCCACCTGCGAGAAGGTGAAAGGCTGTTGTGACGAGGGAGAATTTTGAATCCTGAGCCATGTATATCGCTGTCAGTTGTCCCCATCCCATTATCATTCTCTTCAATAGACGGTGCTTTTGGCTTCTTGAAAATTTGTAGCCATTACCTCGGGCTCCTCCCAGCAGTGTGTCATGCAGTCGCAGCCGATCAGTATTCTGAAGGCTCCAGCACCTTACCATACCAGATGTGATTTCCGCATTGAACTAGGCTAGGATAGACTTTCACTTCAGTGAGCAAATTCTGCTAAACCTCCATAGCTTAATTTCTAATGAATCCATACCCCGCAATGTTGACCCCCTACTTCTTTTAGAAACCTTTTTTTTTTTTACAGATCCTTCTGCTTTGGAACTTCGCAATTTGATTCAGTTGCATGGAGGAGAATATCATTGCTATTATGAATATGGCACTACAACATACGTCATAGCGACTTCTTTGGCGAACGTAAAGGTATAATCTTTCCCCTAACTATTTGGGCGGGAGCAGAGACTTTTAGGAATATTTATACTGTTTGAGGTGCAAAAAACACGCCAGAACGAAAAATTTGTAAAGCCTGATTGGATTGTCGATTGGTGAGTTAGCACCCTGATTACTTCATTTTAGAAGCATTAGCGTTCTTTTTTGTTGTCCTATGTTGTTCTTTCAGTGTTGCAGCTGGAAGGCTGTTAGAGGTGGATAAGTATGTTTTACTTCCTACACAGGAGAAAAGATCAATAGCAGCAGTGTTCAGTAAACCCCCTGAGGCTCAAGGTAACCACCTTCCAATTCAGAAGTGCAAATTTATGTTTTGAGGTAGAAAACACATTAGGCAATAGTTTGTTTCCCTATTTACTGTGACTGGTGTGATTGTTGATAGTCAGAGATACGCCCCACGATGAATACTGTTCAATTAGCTCCTTTGATTCGCGGAATAAAGCTCTCTAGGAAGCGTGCTAGACGTTCTCGCGACTCGGAAATGAGCGTTAGGGCATGACGTATCAGAGCAGCGCATGTTGGTCGCAGTTCATCTCTCTATAAGGCAGTTTCGGCATCTCTGTTGGATGTGCACCTTCTCGCTTCTCTTTCCTCAGCCCATAGTGCCTCTCCGTCATTGCACAGTCTACGTCACAAACATATGGGGTCCTGAATCCGATGTTTTTGTTGTTTCTCCTTTTTTCCAGTGCATAGCTTGTCCTTTGTGCTAATTTTCGAGTAAAGCAATCACTTTTGTTAAAGTGTGCCTTCAGATGTGACAAAATGAAGAATAGCGGAGACATGGGATGACGCTCGCTTTTGTGAACCCTTTTTAGAGATTTACTTGTTCTACAAGTAGTTTGATTTTCGAAAGGAGACGCCGGAATTGTTTCTGCTTAGCTTTTCCGGATTTCGATTCTCGTCACGTTGTTGGTTACTTCCTGAAATGCCACTAGACAGGGCGCCTCCCATCGGCCGGGCATCTCCAGAACTAACATTTTGATAAAGAACGGAAACATGCGACTAAAGTCATCCGTTCAAGGGAGAGCCAGCGCGGGTATAGATGCGCTAAAAGCCTAATTGGCTCGCATCAGTTTCCCAAATATTGCTTGTTGGCTGGAAAAACTATGAAACTTACTACCTGATTTTGTTACCATGATCTATAGAACCGTTTCACTTGCTTCTAATTGCTTTTTCTTTGCAGAAAGCGGCACAGATGTCCCAATCCTCGATGCACGCGACCCGAAGTTTTTGGAGGAGTACTACGCAAGGTGAGACACTACAAAAAAGCGTTAGAGTCCCTAGTATTCAGTTAATTGGGATACGGGAAGGATTAATAATAAATCGGTCTTCTCGGGCAAGGTTTTTAAGGATACGACATTTATAAGTCCCATTCCTTCAAATCGCGTTATGTTGTCATTCGTAAAGAAGACTCAGAGTTTCTCGACTTTTTTGAAAACTGCATAATCACGCAGCTTATGGACAACTATTATACTTTTTACGGTAGAGCTAATGAGGAAAATATTCGGGCGCGAATTCTCACATCCTAAAGTCATAGCTCCTGCTGCGATCATCTGCAAATTCGGACCAGTTGTCTCTATGACTCAAGTTAGGATGCCTGCTTTATGACAACTGGGAGCGTACGCCTCAAAGAGGACGCAGCTCGGCATTCTGAAACTCAGTTGGGAAGTCCTATTATATTCAGCATACTGTGCCTTGTGAACCGAATGCTTTTAGCTTGAATCAGCCGATCTTCTAACCATGGGAATATGATATAGGCGATCCTTAGCGTCACGGAGAGGGCCACGCTAGATCGCCAAGGGCTTATCCTTCGATGCGAGCTGCGTGCTCCGCACTGCAAAAGCAAAAGTTAAATGATTACAAAAAAAACACAAATTAAATGTTTGCAAAAAACAACACAAAATTGCTTTTAGCCACTAATCGTTATTCTATGATTCCATTCTACAGTTTCACTCGAGAACCCCTCGAAGTCTCTGAAACACAAATTAAGTTTGCAATTAATAGATTGACTAGATTGAATTAAAGCGAACGGTACACGGTACCGATCCATCCCGTTCACGGATGCATCGTATGCTCAACATCACGCGACGTTCAACATGAGGCACGGTTCTACTCTCCTCCCAAAGGAACACTGCTGCTTTCTTCACTGCTGACTGCAAGCATTTAAGACATCTCCTTAACAGTGGACCAAATACGACCCTACCTGCTTGTTGAGGATTCCGCAACACACGTTTTATACTAGCCGTAGCACGAGTGCCGTGCTCAAATCTTTGATCTTCATAGTAATTAGCCAAATTTGATCCGATTCCATTTTTGAAGGCGGAGACGACGATTAGAAGGCAGTTCTTTAGAATTAAGGCAGAGATGGTCAGGTGCTGGGATGAAGAAAAAACATGAGAAACGGCCCAGAACCCGAGAAATGGGACTCTTCCTTGCCCGTTGATTTCCGCATTGATGCGACTTTCATCGTGCTGCCCTCTTCAACGCTAACGCTTTCTTCGCTGCTAAATGCTAAAGACCTGCGGTGAGTGGTCAGCTTGTCGGTGGGCGAGCCACGTCCATAGCGCCGCGGGGGAGCCATGCTAAGTTGTCGAGGGTATATGCTCCGCTGCGAATTGCGTTTCAGTCCGCTTCGTTAGGGGATCCCTGTCTTTACACTAGGTAAGTATCCCCTCCCTCGGCATTGTGGGATTCTCCTTTGTTATTTCTCTCTACCCTTCGAATATGGAAAAAATTGATGTAACTGTATTTACCTGCTAGCAACAGATAAGAATAGGTCTCTTAAGTTTCCATTGTGCGGCGAGATGAAGTGTTTTTAGGGGAGCACTTAGAAATGTTTGTCTTTGGAGATTACCTCATCTACTACTGAGCCTTAGTTAA